ATAATTCTGTGATATCAGGTGTGATTATAGGTTCTATGGGTGGCAGAACTTATATACAGCAAAAACAGAGCTCTGTTTCCTACAACTCCAAATAATAAAAGAGCCACACAGGAGATTGTACCCAGGAACAGGATAACAGCAAGCTGGGACTGTTGGAGGCGGCTCGTGTTTGGAAAATGGGGTAGAGTTAGCTATGTTTTGCAGGTATCTTGGGGATTGGATATTTTGAATAATTTTCTAACCCAAGGAAGAAGAGTCCTTTCCTGTGAGTTAGATATTTTGGGGCCCCTGGCAATTGGTATGTGTGTATCATAACCCAATATTGTTAAAAACCTAACAAGGGAGGTAGTTGAAGTGGAAGCTTAATAAACTGTCCATGAAGGGGAATTGAAAGTTTTTAGCCATGAATTCAAACTGAGTCAAGGTTACACTCGTGAAATATACCAGATCAAAAGGTTTACATATTAATAACTTCATGGAAAGATTACTCTCTTGTCCTAATAACATTGCCAAAAGTCGTGGCTTTGACTGTCATTGGTTTCAATTAGTTCATACGCCCATCCCTTTACACAACACTGTAGCCAAGGAGATTGATTCTTGATTGACAATGCCCTTGTCGTATGCTCATCCCTGGAGTTAGGAGGCGGAGGCAATACCACTCCAACTATATGGACTAAAGGTATGTAGGAAGGTGGTTCCTCAAAAGAAAGTCACAGAGCTTTTATCACAAGAGGACAAAATTATTGGATAGGAAAAAGTAATCAATATCTATTAAATAAGTGGGCCATATAATTTATCTTGTAAACTAAGACTTTTTTGGGAAAAAGAGTCTATTAATAATTCTGCCATGGCATTTTAGCACACAGAAACTACCCAGTGAAAACAAGGTTGTATGGTCATTCTGCTACACAGTTTTTAAGGGAGATGTAGACTCTAAGGGGGAATTCTATACAAATCGAATAGCATCTATATGTAGATAATGCACAGTGCATGTGCAAAGTAAATGGAGAGTAGATCTTTGTCATCAGACTGGAAGTACGTATTAAGTAGTTTGGTTGGGAAAGGAAGGTTAGAAATTCACTGTATATGATCTTGAATACCATTCCCAAGGATGTTTGTGGTTTGTGCAATGAAGAGTGACTAAAGGTTTTAGAATATTGGAATAATTGACCAAATCTTTCTTTTTTTTTTACAGTGCATATCCATGTGTATTTTTTTTATTTATTTTATTTATTATTCCAGGGTTTTGTGAGGGTACAAACATTATAGTTACACTTTATGTCTTTGCTTCACCCTAATATGGGTTAAAGGCATGCCCTTCCCTCCCTTTAGTGCTCCCCGTGTCCTTTAGTTGTAGATTTGCCCCCTCATCCCCCTAATCCCTAGAGAGTATTTCTGCCATGTGATCAACCTAGTGTTGATCAGTTAGTACCAATTTGATGGTGAGTACAAACGGATCCCGTTCTTCTGCTCTTGTGGTGCCCCACTTTGGATAATGGGCTTAAGTTTAATCCAGGAAAGTATAAGAGGTGCTAGATCACTGTCGTTTCTTATAATTGAGTAATATTCCATTGTAAACATATACCAAATTTTAATAATCCACTCATGGATTGACGGGCACTTGGGTTGTTTCCACATTCTTGCAATAGTGAATTGTGCTGCCATAAACATTCGGGTGCAGATGTCTTTATCATAGAATGTTTTGTGCTCTTTTGGGTAGATACCTAATAGTGTTATTGCTGGATCGAATGATATTTCTAATTTTAGCTCTCTGAGGTATCTCCAAATTCTTTTTCATAGAGGTTGCACTAATTTGCAGTCCCACCAGTAGTGTAAGAGTGTTCCTGTCTCTCCACATCCTCTCCAACATTTGTTGTTTTGTGTTTTTTTGATAGAGGCCAATCTCACCGGGGTTAGGTGATACCTCATTGTGGTTTTGATTTGCATTTCTCTAATGATTAGAGATGTTGAGCATTTTTTAATATGTTTGCTGGCCATTATTCTGTCTTCTTTTGAAAAGTTTCTGTTCATTTCCCTTGCCCATTTGTTGATGGGGTTGTTTGATTTTTTCTTGTTGATTTTTTTGAGTTCTAGATAGATTCTGGTTATCAGCCCTTTATCAGATGTGTAGAGAACAAATATTTTTTCCCATTCTGTGGGCTGTCTATTCACTCTAATGATAGTTTCCTTGGCAGTGCAGAAGCTTTTTAATTTGATTAGATCCCACTTATTTATTTTTGTTGCTGCGGCGATTGCCTTGGGGTTCTTCTTCAAGAATTCCTTGTCTAGGCAGATGTCTGAAAGGGTAATTGACCAAATCTTAATTTTAGGAAGATAATTTCTGATGGTAATGTTCCAATGGGCATGTTAGTTTTCAGTCTGAAACTGTGGGTTCTTGGCACGCCCATAGTGGAAGAATGACCAGACATGCCAAAGTTAGCCAAGCACAAAAATGAGGTTTATTGAGGAGAGAAAGATAGGATTGTAGGGCAAGAGCAAGATATAGGTTTACAGAGCATGGTACATATGCTATGGATGACAACCGGACCCACTGTCACAGCAGGGCAGGCAAAAGGAAGGGCAAAGAGAGAGAGGGCTTGGCTATGGTCTGCATCTTATTTTATAATGCCCTGATAGGGACCTCCCTCATGGTTCAGAGGTTGCCATGGCACCACTTTCAGTAAACAGTTGGGAGTCACAAGACCTGAGCCTTAACTATGCATGTGGGTTCTGGGTCACTTTCTGGACTCTATGGTACCCATGCAGCTTAGCCATGGGCTAGAGAGTCCTCTGCATTCTTTTGCAGCTGGAGTGCCAAGTTCTGATTGGCAGATTCATAGGGTGTTCCTCCTCCCCCAGGTATGGAGAATCAGGGTTGGGCAGGACCAAGATGGGGGCAACAGCACCCACTTTCATCCCTAGGAGACCCGGATTCCCTGCTATCTACCTAACAGGCAGAAAGGACAAGAGATTTGAGGCAAGAAGACTATTTAGAGATCCAACTTTCTTGATCTTTAAAGCTACTGCTCTAGTCAAAACCTTCATCATTCCTTTCTTAGACTACGAAGGTAACCTTCAATTTCTCTGTATAATTCTACTCATTACTCCATCCCTTCCATTTTCCACAGCAGTGAAGGATGTAAATTAAACTTTCTTCTGTCCTGCTTCAGATCCTCAAAGATCTTGCATGTGTCAGCCTCTTTCTCTTTCTCTGATCTCGTCTCACGCCACTGTCTTTCTGAATCAGTCTTTCTGGACCTTTTTCAGGTGTTTAAAAATACAAAGTCAGCCCTTCCATAGGAGCCTGGCATACTGTCTCCATTTTGCTTAGAATGCTTGCTAGTCTCATCCCTCCTTCCTGCTAGCCTAGTCTCTTCAGCTCTGCTTTCTTTCCCCAATGCACGCACAGTCTTTGCCTGGTGAAGAGCTACTCATATCTCAAGCCTTAGCTCAAAAACGCTACCTGAACCTCACCCTATAGATCTCATGGATCTCACATTTAAAAAAATTATTATCATAATTACCTCCCGTACTTATTTACCTCTGTGTGTGCAAAGTTTTGTTTTGGTTTGGTTTGGTTTGGGTTTTTTGCTGTTTTGTTAAATGTCTCTCTAACAAGACAGCAATACCTCAGAGGTAGGAATGAAGGATTTAGGCTTACCACTAACACCTAAGTGCCCAATTTCTTGCAGAGGATGGAACTATATAAATAAATAAATAAATAAATAAATAAATATTTGTTGAAAAAATGATAAATGCATGAATGAATGTAAGACATGATATAATTTAAATGCAAGAACTGAGAGGCTTCGATTCTGTGGTGTCGAAGGGAATGAAAGATGATATAAGATACAAAAAAATTTGTGAGAGAATGTTATGGAATCAATATAGTGTTCAATATTCTAACCTGAATATTGTTTATTTTTCCTGTGATTTTTATTCCTGGATTAAATTGTGAAAGTAAGTAACTTAAGCTATATAAAAAAAAGTTAAATATGGTCAATATTTTTTAAATTGAAGTAACTAGTAGCAGAAAGAAGTGAAAGATTTTTAAAATTGGAAAATATATCAGGAAGTGATCAAAATTTCATTGTGTACTATTACCACATTTAAAGTCCATAGACTTACAAATGGTATTTGAGGTTGCAAGAAAATATATTCCCACCAAGTTAAAGTTTCCAAAGAATTCCATCAGTTGATATATGACAGTTATATCAAATGTAATCTAGATGAGTTTATTCTAAACTTTTATGACTTTTTATGAGTCTCTTAATAGATTTCCCTTTTGGAGTAAAAGTCAATCTAACAGTTTATCTTGACTTCATTTATCATTGCATAGTTTAAATGTCAAAATAAATTAGAGAAAATTATGGTGTAACCCCTTAGGAAAAGCATTTCTTATACCTAAAAGATAACTCTGCCAGAAATTGATTTCTTGCAGAAATTTTGTAATACAATATTAATTTTGATTCTAGTAACATTACAAAAGATAATGCTTCCTAATGAGTGTCTTCTCAATAATATTGATAAAAACACAGAAAATTCATGAAATGTAAAATAACTGTTAATATGTATAAGATAGAGAAGTATTATATCCTATTCCTAATGATTAAAAATTAAAAATACAAGCCAACAACAGAATCGTGGGAATTGGTTTAATGTTTTTTAATCTCTTTAACATGTCAAAAACAACTGAACTTAAACTAATGAAAATTTTAGTCCACATGGTATGTATTCAATTCAGCCCATTAACAACTATAGCAAACATAATAGCAAATGGCATGTATATTTGAGATATAAATGGAAATTAAGAACATATGAACTGAAATTACTGAAACTTTGCAAAACATATGTATATGTAAAAAGTAGCCATTTAGGTTGCTTTATTTTGGATAATGATATCTTAATATTAAATTGAATCAATATGTAATGATCAATATACATATTAAAATATTCATGTTTGTATGTTTGTCATTTCATAGCAATTTTCTTTCTTTCAGACTCTTGAGATACTGACTGGAAGATAGACTTTTTTTCCTGTTGATTGTATGGGAGAAATTTTTGACCTTAGAAAGTGGAGATGAGGTTGCTATGGAAACTGATAATTCTGCTGCCACTCATCAACTCTTGTGCAGGTAAAGTGTTCTATTATCATAAGTTTTGATTGATAAATATATTGGCATTGTATTTCTTTCTAGAGGTGAAGCAATTTTCAAAATGAACAATACATATGTTATTTTAATGACTAAGTGATAAAGTTTTGAAGGTAACCTCTATGACTAACACAGGGAGAGTTTAATCCTTAAAATGTAT